GGCAATATGCACCTTGAATGATGACTACATACGTTTGTCCTCCTGCATGCATATCCACCTCTAAGCCCATCTCTCTAATCATCCGCGGAATCCTCGGTGCTGACCATGCAAATTAATAAAATGAGAGGGAATGAAATTGGTCAATTGGAAATAGTCGTGGCGACTTACCCTGCATGCATGGGCTTTATCACCTTCAAAAGCCCAACAATGCACCGCCTACTTCATGCATTTGGACGACGAGCAGCGCAAATCACCAATGCGGTCACTCATCCTCATCTCGTGGCACCACACCTTCCATATATCATGATCCTCTCACCTCATTTCTCGCTTCGCGTCATGAATTGTTGGCGGACTTAAGAACATGCAAGGCATTCAAGCTTTCTATGCAAAATTCATGCCACTCACACTCCTGTGCTTTCCAATACATCTCAATTTACTTGTTCATACTTCAATCAACATTATCCTTTTTGGCGACACGAAGGCGGCATATCTCCAAGCTGACCGTGGCATCGCTTCGTCCACTACACCCCACCTACTTTAAAACAATGACCTCTAACTACTCCCTTGTAACGTAACCGGTCTTTAACACCATTTAATGCAAATTGAAACCGCCACCTAACTCATTCGTGTGCATGTAAACCATCGTTTTCCTTATGCTCACGTACACTACTTTTGCGTCAGTAGAAGCCCGTGTTCGTCAAACCAGGTTCTGTTCCACCTTAAAACAGCCGAACTATCTACTTCGCTTGACAAACACTTGCGTCGCCTATTCAATGGTGCACAATCAGTGTTGCCTTAGGGGTGGAGAGTTTTGCTTCTAAGATCCGAATGTGATCATCGACGAATTCTGACGTTGTTTACGCTTCGATGTGTAGAGTCGGACCAGAGTACCTTCACATTTGCATTACAAGCGCATTGTAAGTAGCCAAGAATGGTCGTTCCAATGGTAGAAAGTGTGAAATACGGCATGGGATTGAGAATTTGGTTAGGCGGAGTAGTTAATCAGTTTACCTGGGCATTGACTTTCGACACTGCGTTAGAGTGGATCGTGCTAAAGTACCCTTTTGTCAGTCTCAACCGTCTAACCATTCCGGTACAATGGGTACACCTCTCTCTAATATCATCTACAGCCGCTAGTCGATTCGTCAACTTCCTTGAATGGTGGTAAGCCTTCAGCTACCTCATCGTTAGAAAAGGTGTGATTTATGCGAAACTATTGAAGTCTGTGGCAGTTCCGACTGAAGGTGTGCAGGAAACCAGCTCCAGGATAGTGGCCTGCTAGCAATTACGCGTCACAATAGCAGTAGGTCAGGGCAAACTCTTGTCCCATAATCTCTCACATGCCTCGTACTCATTGTAATTGACGCATCATTAGCACACGTCTTTGCTACTAGTTGGTGAGGCAGGATCACTGCACGCAACACAGTGTTTCACTACCATCCTCGCCGTTACACTGACATCGTTCAACAGTTTGTGCAGAGACTCAAGCCTAGCAGACATTTGATTTCGAGCGCAATTAACACACTCGAGCGAAGCCATCTGCCATCCCTTGATTGTAACGTGGGTGTGTGCAGCACATTTGCACATTGCCGTCATTTTGTCCAACGACAACACCAGCGGACACGTCTGCATCTGTTGAATGAAGAGAAGGTCTCCACGCACACTTGTGTTAAGCTTAAGGCTGCGAGAAACTGCGCAGCACTCACCCGATTAGATGGACATTGGCTATTCAAGGTCTTTCACCTCATCGCCTCTTCTCGCATGACGGATACCTGCGTCTGTGTTTCCAACGTCACTGACCGCATACGCCAATGCGTAGCCTACCTACTTCGTCCACGGCGGCATGATCGGACACATTGTGACCACTTCCGACACCAACACTGCTATCGTCACCTTGTTTTTGCATTGAAATGCTTAAGCCGATTAAAGTAGACCCTCGCACTCACTTTGAGGTTCGGCACTAGCACTACACAAAAGAGTCAAGCGGTGCGACTTTGCCTGGTATGCACGC